TGTCAATTGTTTATTTTCATATTCTTGTGCAAGTAAATATTCATCTGAGGCACCTATTGCCCAATAATTACCCACAGAGGTTTCTGCTAAAGGTTTCTCGATGAACCGTTTGCCTAATCTTGTCTTAGGCATGTCGGGACTACAAATGAATGATACTTCCTTCCATGGATCTGATGAGAAGCTTTCTTTTATTGGACTTGTCGTTTCAATTTCCAACATACGTCTTCGATCAGAATGTTGAACGATATGAATGTTTTCTAATGAATGACCATATTCATTTTGTAATTTTTCCAATCGAACTAATTGAGCATGTTGATTAGTTGATCTGCTATTTGTGATCATCGATGATTCTTCCTCGAAATGGAATCGATAATTTTTTATATGATTTTCAAGTATTCTTCTGGCATCGTCGGCTGTTTGATGAATATCTTCGATTGCTTGGCGCTCCCAATTGTCAATAGTCGAACGAAGTTTGTTTTCAAGGTGTTCATATTCGACTAAACATTTTGATAAAGGTTGTTGATGATCCCGAGCATCATCTAGGTATTTCTCATAGGTTTGACGATGCTCACAAAAATGATCCCAACAGAAATGGCGATTACAAGCGACGCAAATGGCCACCGATGGCACACCACAAGGCAAATGGCAGGACACGCTACCAGCTCGCTGTCTCATCATCAATGATTTAGATGCAGGTAAATGTGATGTCTGCTTTTTCCGATGACTTGTTATTTTTTATTTTCTTTTTCTTTTCACTTGAAGCGCGATCTACAAAGAAACAAAGTAAGAAAAAAACTGCACACTTATAGAGACGAATTCAGTTTCAGGAAAAATAGAGATAAATCATGGCGCTTGTTCATGAATTCTCATTTGCTATGTTTTCAAAAAGATTTTCTTTTTAAGAAAGGTTTTCTAGTGACTTGATAACAATATAATATTCAGAGATTAGTGCCAATGAGCGAAAGGCTTTTCAGCGAATTACGAAATACGAAAGAACGATAGGTAGAGTGTGAATGTATATTGAAAGGAAACTCACACCTACACACAGGTCTAGACCCACACTCAAGTCGATAAATATATCTTGAATAAGTGAATAAAAGTTTGCCTCGATTTGAAGTGGCAAACCGCAGTGCTATTGTATCAGCGTACTAGTGTCAGATGTGGATGAATACAGGTCGAAAACAGAATAAAATAAATTGGTAGATTAAACAAAGCAGAAGGAGCAAGAGCTACTATTTATATAAATATCCACCACGATGATTCACATTTAAACAAACAATCGAACTGAGCTAAAAAGTAAAAGTCGCTGAAATGACTTTCATCATTTAACTTTTCGCTGTTATGCATATTTGCTGCTATGGGCCTCTGCTATTGTGCGTTTCACATGTTGTTTTTCGCTGAAAAGGACGTTCGCTGATAAGCTTTTCGCTGAATGGATACAATATCATATTCAGTACTCAATGATCTACCTATTCTCTCTAAATACGCGTCTTATCAACGATAGTAATGACCTATCCGTAGTCCATTATAGTGCTCTTTTCAACCAAGAGCACGTTTTGCATGAAAGAAAAAATCATTAAAAAGCCTGAAAATCGTTTAAAACAAGTAAAATAAGCCCAGCTTTAGTGACCTAAAAATCAATAAAAAACACTACCGATCTAGTTTCAAGTATGGTTTGGTGTGTATGTGTATGACATGGGAGAGAAAAATTGCGAGTCAGACAAAACCGATAAAAACACGTTATAGACTTGTTTTTTTACAAAAATAAGTTTTTTTTTTATCGTTCTCTCAGAGTAAAATATACACATTTTAACACGGTAAAATACGTCCTTTTCTGACAGTGGTTCTTCGCGGAAAGAAGCTACCACATTTCTCTCGTTCGTGATCGTAAGTATGAAGGTGAATAGGTTAAAACGTAGTTTACGATTCATGTCTGAATAATGATTGTATCAGGTTTTCTAGTGCTTCAGTAACTATATAGCATTCAGCATACAATCACTTACCTATTCCATCTGAATACAAGCCTTATTAACGATAGTAATGGCTTATTTAAAGACGTTTAATAGACTTTTTCTTTACCCTGGAGCATGTACGGTATGAGATAAAATACTCTTGATTAAATAACACCCATGCTAGTATGTTATCGAAATGAAATAAGGGAAAGAAAAGAAAAGAAAACGAAACATTTTTATTGCACAGCTATCGATATTAAAACGACAAACAGAATGGGGGCTGTACCGAAACTCTTACTGATGATGCTTATTCAAATACTTGATACCTGCAGAGTGCAAATATAATGCACATACGCAATACAAATTTACATAAAATAGGGAACGAGACGGTGTAAATGTCAATGTTGATGTTTCGGTATTTGTAAAATAGATTGCTCCGTTCACACGCATATCCCTTTTTTAACTTGTCTTCGTGTCTATACAATACACTAAATGTCACTTTTCTTGTTATAAATAGCCAATGAATTCAGTGGAAATCGAAAAAGCGTTCTTGTATGAATGAATTGTTTGAAAATCGAATTTTTCGTATCGTCCTTATCTTTCCAATAAAAATAATTATTTTCGATCAATTCAACTACATCTTTTGTATGAAAATCAGTTCTAACTTAGAGTTCGGAATCAAAAATGATTCATCAGTCGAAGCGATTTCCTTGTCGATTCTTTTTACAGTTTCTCATTTTTAACACCTACAGATAGACAAAATTGAAAAGAAAGTTTCAAAGAACTTTGTATGAACTTACAAAAAAAAAAGAATACAATTAAAACTAATGAATTAATGCAAATGATAACATCTACTTACAAGTAGATTGCTTTTGAGTCGGCTACAATTTTATTCATTATTATGCTAGTAAATCTTATGTATGTCTTTCAATAAAAGCCTTAAAGAAAACCAACAATAAGCTGAATATTTCTACAGTTATATTTGCTGGCGTGGATTCTGATTAGTACGATTTTTTCTGAATGAAAATTTTGTGTAATAAGCATATTTGAAAATAGTTTAGATAAGTAGTTCCTATTTCATCAATTATATATGAGAAAATATTTAATATTTTTAACAAAATATTTTATGGTGCAATTCTTTTTATTTTAAAGAATACTGGAAACACATTTTCGGAAAAATTTTTCCTTGACAGTTAGCTTCGAATTTCTCGTCAAAGGAAAGAAAATGTTACTCTGTTTCTCTTTCTCATTAAAAGTTTTCTTTTTCATAATTTATTGAGCAAAGAAAAAAAAAAAGAAAGAAGTATATGGGAACTATATTCTGCTAGTCATTGAAAGTTACCTAGGAGAATTTTCTTTTTCTTTACTACGTTGATGCAAACGTTTACATTTCTTTTAGTATTTATTGTTACATCGATCAGACGTTCTTGTTGGTAAGAAAAAACAACTAATAAAACAAAATATGAGTAAAGAAGAAATAAAACAAGTTAGTATAAGTTTTTAATTTTATTTTTTATTTACAAAACAAAATATTTATTCAGTTATTTAAACGATTTGATAATGGTAATGGTCACTTATCGTTAGCTGAACTTGATCGAGCTATCATTCATTATTATCCACAATTTGCTACCAATAAGAAAGCAATTATGCAAGCATATAAAGCGGCTGATACTAGCAATGTATGATAAGAGAAAAAAAAAGAAATTAATTAAGTAGATTTTCAATTTTTGTTTTATTAGAATGGTTTCATTGAATTGAGAGAATTTGGAAAAATTGTTCAATTACTCAAACACTATGATGAATTAAGTAAAATATTTGAAGAATTAGATACAAATGATGATCATCGTATTAGTTTTAAAGAATTTAAAAGAGGTTTTACATTATCAGGTGAAGATGATTCGGATGAAGAAAGTTTAAAACAAGAATTTGATGCTATTGATTCGAATGATGGTGGTTATATTCTATTTGATGAAGTAAAAACTTCAGAAAAAACGTACTATTGTTTAATTTGATGTTGTTTTTGTTTCTTCTTTTTCTAGTTTTGTATGTACATGGCCAAGAAAAAAGTACAATAATTTTAATTTAAAACTAATAGACATTATGATTTTGATTTTGTATTTCATTGAAAAAAAAATTTTTGTTTTGTCTTAGTTATTGCCATTTGATCAATAAAAAAATATTCTTTGTGTCTAATTTTGCTTTACACAGGTTTTCAAAGGATACTGAAAGAAAGATAAAAGTAGAATTTTTATTTGATTTAGAAAACAGAAAACTACGATAACAATATAATGTGTTAGACAGATTATGCCGAATTGTAATTAAAAATCTGCGACAATAGAACAAATTAGGTCTTGAAAAAGAAGCATTCATGCTTATGACCCTTCACTTACCAAATATAGTCAACATTGTAGTAAAAAAAAAATGATGTCTCTTATTTATTTTACTTTTGCAAATTATCACTTATATATTTACGTAATAGACTGAAACTACACGTGTGTCAAATAAATAATCTAAATATCTACTTCGACTGAATTATAAAATTCCAAAAATTATAAGAAGGAGGAACTTTAGTCTCTAGAAGTTGTTGTTAATGCATGAAAAAAATTGCACAAAATCAGGCATGATGAAACAAAGCACCTTATTATTTTTTTATAGTTCATGTAGAAATAACGAACATGTATCGATTTTCGATATCATAAACAACAGATCAAATCAGAAGTTCAACATCTCTCTTTATTACATGGACGAAATAGAAGCAAAATGAGACATTATTGAAGATTTCCAGGACCCGTCTATAGACTTCCATTTATACGGTATCTGTATTGAACAAGTTTGGAATAAAGAAAGTAGATCGATTTAGAAATGAATAACAGCAGTTTTTAGGAATAATTGGAAATTCTCTATAAGCTCCATCATATAAGTTATCATCAAACGAAAAAAGCTAGACTGAAGCTTGACTCTTCAGATTATTACTCTCTTTTGATACAGTTAAAATGCATTATGTATTATTACTAGATAAGTTCAGCGATTAAAAATAAATCTCAGTAATCCTCACGAATAAGTGATACATATTTGATAATACTATTTCAATCTCATATTTCGAGATCAAAAGACTATTATTAGAATAATATATGAATGATAATTTGGAAGAAAAAGCGTTTTGTTTTTATCATAACGTGAACTATCTTTCTTGAACGAAGAATCATAAGCATCAATGCTTTCAGATTTTTCTTAATTTTACTTACGTGAGACTTACATCTAGCTAAAAGATGACAATGAAAGCTCGAAATTGATTGAAGCGCTTTTTTTGTTGGTATCAAGAATATATTGTTTGGTAGTTTATATGGGTAGAAGTGTTTTCTATCACTAATTTGCTGATGACAGGAGACTTAAGATTCAGATCGGATAAAATATTATTAGTTTATCTATCATAGAATGATGTTTTCTGAAACAAAATAGTTCTATAAAAACTCTATAATTTATAATGAGAAAGGCCAACAGTACATACTATTGTCAGATTTCGAATAAAAGAATACACAAGTAATGAAAGTCATCGCGAAGAGTTATAAGATTTCGAAACGACTATCATATTTATTATTCTACAAAATTATTAGACTTATTCCAACAGATATTATCTCATATGAAAGATTTAAAATCAAGTACGAAATTAATCATTTTTCTTTGATGATATCTAATTACAAGTCTTAAGAAAGAATGTTAAAAAAAAGACAAATGAAAATTTATTGTCTCAAAAAAAAGAGATATACAAGACACTGATCCTATCTCTCATTAAGCAAAATTTGAGTGTTATAGTCTTGAATAGAAATGATACACCAGAAATACATAAGTCAAACTTTAAAGGCAACACAAAACAAAAGCAGTTATAAAGAAATGCAAGCAAATATAGTGAAATAATTGTAGACAATAGACCAACAAGAATATAAAAACTAGATGAATGAGATATAGTTTGTGAAAATAGAATTTTTTTTTGATATACAAACAGCATTTGCATCAATTGCAAAATATTATATGAAAGAAAACAAAACTTCATCCGATTGAATACATACAAGCAAAATACAATAGCTTAATTGTTAATTAAAAAAAGTTTTTTTCTGATGTCAGACAAGATTTTTTTTACTGAATGAATCAGGCCCCACGATGTGCCGGGGGCTAGCCCCCGGCATTTTTTTAAGCGTGTCTGCGAAAATTTTTAATACTGTCTGGCAAAAATGTGTAATATAGTCTGCGAAATTTAATTTTACCGCTGCAGTCGACTGGTCACGTGATAATATTAGCGGTGAAAAATTTTTGTTTTGAGACAATTTTTCCGAAGATTTTACTTAGCGCTGGAGGGGGATAGAGGTATCTTCGTCGCGCTACCCCCTCCCCCCCCGCGGTCATCACTTTTAATGAAAAATCGGGAAGTTCCCAAAAAAATAACTGACTGTCTGCCAATTTTTTGTGAAGTGTCTGGCAAAAGAAAAAAAAACTTTAGTCCCCGCCACTCTCAAAAACAATCGAGAGCCTTGGAATGAATACAGCAAAAAGAAAAGCCGAATAGAGAATAATTTATATCAAATGGTGGATAAAAGTTTCGAGTGATTGAATTTTCAAGTATTTCTCTTGATTGTAATGGCTGGGAAGAATATGGAAAAAACTTGAAAAGTCCTGCAAAATTGCTTAAATGAAGGTATTTAAGCATTTTAAAATTAGTTTGGATCTTGATTTTGTGCAGAGATCCTCACTCAGACAGTTTTGTTGGAATTTTTGACCCCACCACTTGTGACAGAAAATCTTTTCAGATACTTAAATCTTGGTTTTTTAAACTCTTCCTAAACATTATGAACAATCGAAATACAAACTGCTCTGAAGTTGTTTCCACTACTATAAATTTTATGCTTTTAATAAATCTTATTTTTGTTTCGATTTTTCTTTCTTTTTAGTGAATGTAATATGTTGATTTGTAAGATAAAGAACGATTATTGGTGTACCTTTTTCTTCAAAGTAGGATCAGAAAGAGTGAAAAGAAAACTATTCTGTACGTACGTACATCTAATATCATTTGCGTTTGAAATTCATCAATGGTCTGTGTACCATAAAATTGTTATTTATTTTTACATAAGAAAAAAACTTTTTCTGAGATCATGTCACAATGACTATTGTCGAATTTTTTTAAAAATGCCAGCCACCCTTTTTTGAGTAACTCTTCACTATTGATAGCTATTGAGTTCAGGTTTTAGCCACTCAATAGAGCGGCGCGGGAGGCGTCTATCTATATGAGACTCATTAGGACCACAGAAGTTTTTATGGTACATATTTAATTGATAAGAGTTTTTGTTACCAATTTTCATTAGTTTTCATAGAGACCTAAGCTTGAATTACACTAAAATGTAGCTCGGGAGGTCCTGTATTTGCGATAAAATTTTTAGCTCTTTCTGTCATTGTCTTGAATACGATAGTTCGTTAAAATCCTAGAATTTTAACGCAACTTCAGAACCCTCCGAGCTACATTTTGGTGTAATTTAAGCCTAAATCTCTATGAAAACTAATGAAAATTAGTAAGAAAAATTCTTATCAATTAAATATGTACCATAAAAAACTTCTTTGGTCCTAATGAGTCTCATATAGATAGACGCCCTCCGCGCCACTCTATCGAATGGCTAAAACCTGAACTCGATAACTATCAATGGTGAAGAGTTATTCAAAAAATGGTGACTGACATTTTAAAAAAATCCGACAATAGTAAATTGAATATTTTTTGTCTGAATGATACTTTTATTGAGCATTCATACGGAAAAAAAGAGAGTGAAAACCAGATGATCGTAGTTTTCAAGTACATCTAAATAATAAGTTGATAGATTATTAACATGTGATGCAAAATGTTAAACTCTTCTTGACTATATCATTAATTTCTGAATCAAGGGAATCGTATTATAATGGAAAGCACAACATGCAAACTACAAATGTCATACCAAACATTTTTTTCCACAAAACAACTTGATCAAGGAAGTTTTCCAGGTGTGTGTGCACCTGGATTTCAACAAGGACAACAGAATTTGTCAAATTAAATAACGGCTGAGACTATTTCAATAAAAAAATTTGCAGTCAAGTTTGATGGTACCAATATAATTAAAGAAAGTCATGGTTTTAGCTTTGAAAATTCATTAACAAATATTTTAATGAATCAGTCAGACGAAGTGAATGCATGCTGTTACATTTTCATACACAATTATGCTAATCATTCGTATAATCGCAAAATTAATTACTCCAGTTTTCATGTGTTTACAAAAGCTTATACGTAAATTGGATTAGGTTTTAAGCAGTCATTTTATTTAGGCAACTGTTATAATTCAAACACATTTTCATTGTTAGGCTAATAAATGGTATACTAATCGATTTCTGAAAATTGCTTATTGTTATCGGAGGTGTGGATGTAGACGTGGATATGACCATTTAAGTAGAAGGAAGACATTGGTAGGCAGCCACACCTATATCCTCAAAATCTTAACCATTTTAAGGATATGCAGGACATATGCTTTGCACTGTCAACGCACAATGAATTCTTTTCTATTTTCTGCAGTCATTGTGATCGTGTATTTTGTTGCAACCATCTTCTTATCTATCACATGTCTGTTTACACTTTAATAACATGCACATTCACACCCAACTATCAGTTTTTTTTACAAACGTAAATAATTATCTATAGAAAGTACATATGAATTCAATTGCTTTTGAGTTATTTATTCAAAATATATTACGTCATACAAATGTAGCAGAAAAAAGTAATTCAAAAAGTATCTCTTTCGGTTGATAAACGATGAAGTTGTGCATAGCAGGAAATTATTCAATCTTTTTTTTTATAGATGCAATATTTTTGTATACATTATAAAACTAAATTTAGCTTTCAATAGAAGATTTTGATTTGAAAAAAAAAATCTGTTTTATAAACTTTATAACCCACATATTACTCTTTCCAACGAGAAACAAATCGATTGGTTTAAGAGTCAATAACGTTTAATAATGTTTGTTAAAATTTCTATATTACATGTTATTTTTATCTGTTAAAAGCAAATAAGTTGATTGTTGATGTGCTTATTAAACAATTGCCGTACACGAACACACTCCTCATCATTAAGTTTGTCATCAGTGACAATTTTATAATTGGAATTTGAATAATTATTAATTGTTCATCTGTATGTTTCCCTCATATAATATGGCATCATCAGTGGTTGTGATTTTCTTTGTAAAGTAGTCAGACATCGTTGAGTTTTCACTGAATGAACTCTAAAAACAAATTTCAAAGAAAAAAATACCGCTTGGCTTTTATTACGTAGATGTTCTAAGTACTTTAATTATATAATTAATTTGATTTAAATATATCACATTTTATTTAACTAAATATTGATGATTTATTGTAATAGTAGATTTACAATAGAATAAAGTTATACAGATTTAATCAGTCTGTTACAAGAATAGTTAATCTTAATCTCTTTATAATGTTTAGTTCTTCAAATTATAATAGCTATGGAAGAAAAAACAAGACTTGACATTAAGACCGAGTAAATAAAGTTTTTGAAATATAATATTAGTCAGGGTGATAGATCAATATAAGTTCAATCTCTTGTCAACACATAAACATAATCAAAAGGAAATCAACATATATCACTAACATTCGCATTGTGATTTAATTGTTTTTTCTTCTTATATATTACTTTTTAGCGGCTTTGGAATGAAAAGAGTAGGTAATGTCATGATGAAATACTCAGTCAAGAAATTGAAGCCATTTCCGACCACGTATTCGCAAACCATGGGAGGCTTCCGATGTAAATGCACATATCTGAGCGTCGGAATTATTAATATGGGTGTATGAAAATACAGAAATAGTTTTTCTTTGTAATGAAAACATTGGTACAAGTCATTTAAATGTTTCATATTATGTGTTGAAAAACATTGCATGGATAATAATTACATAATAATCTGTTGTGTATTATTCAACAGATTGTACATCATATTCACAACTAGAACTTTGAGTAATTGTTGCAATTTGATTACGACGTAATGTTTTCTTATAATACATTCGCCAACATTTGTTTATAAAAACATGTTTAACTTGTCGACGAAATCTTGTTGATGATATTAAAAATAAATAAAAAGAACCCTAAAATAAATCAATATAAATTAGATAAAATATATAAATTTGACATACTGAATAATTAAGATAAAATAATGAATAAGCAAAAGCTTCGATAAATTGTTCAATTGATTTACGCATTGAACTATCGTCCACTATTAGTGTAGTAAGTGAATAAATCCGTTGTAAAACATATGGTAATGTTATAATGACTAAAAATCCAACACGAACAAGAATCATTGCTGTCAATTGTTGATCAAATTTTCGTCGACGTAGTGGTATTTGACGTCGTACAATACGACGAACATTTCGATAAGCTAATACACTAAATAAAGTCGAAATAATAATTGGTAATGTACCAGTAAATATGAGATAATAGACATATGTAACATAATTTCTAAAATTTTCATTATATATATTACATCCATATGTTGACTGTATTTCAAAGAAGAACAAAACTGGTACACCATGTAGAATCCAAATAATAGTTGCAATAATAATAAAATTCTTAGCTAATTTCATTGTACTTTTTTGTCGTAAAAATGGATAATAATTTGTTGATAAATATTGATCAATAGCAGCAAAACAAACAATACTAAGTGATATTAAAGTAAAAGATTGAACAAATAATGATCTTAATTTACACCAAATTAATGATGTTTGTGTTAAATCATTAACAAATCCATTGATTGCAATACGAGATGTGAATGATATTATCATTTGAAGTAAATCAACAATAGATTCTGCAATGAGATAAAAAGCAGATGGATTTCTACGAAAAATTTTAAGACGAGTTAAAACAAAAATAATAGCCATATGTCCAAAAATACCAGAAAATAATATAATAAAACTAACATATATTGTATATTGTTCAGAAATAAAAATAATTAATTCTTCTGTTGATAATGATGTCATGATGATTATTATGTCAACTTCCTTGTTCTTTTTTTCACTAATAAGAATATCGTATTTGTTAAAGGATATAAGCTTCACAAAAATTTCAATTCTTTCACTTGATTATGACGACAATGAAAAATAACATCAATAGATAAATATCATAAGAAGATATTGTTTTTAATTGTTGCTAGTAGAATTTATGCTAAAAATAACAAAAGCTCCTGATGATAAAAAAAAAAGATATTAAATATTTCATCAATGTTTATGACAGAACGAACTCTGCAAAAACTTTTTTATGTTATTAATTATCTCATATGGAAAAGGTTAATAAGAACGATCTTTCAACTGAATCTCGAGAATTTTTGATGCATACAGAGCAAATATTCAAAACTAGTTAGTTATTTTACAAGTAGTTGACTACTAATTTTGAAAACTTACTCTATATGCATCAATATAATGTATGATGAAAAAGCCATGGGACAGATTTCAGACCTTGTTTTTCTTCGATAGAAGAATGCCAGAAGAAAAGATTTTTTTACTAGAAGATAGAACTTTTTCTTCTCTTTCGAATCGTCTATAACTCATTGTTGTAACACATTTATAAATGAAATGACATGATAGAAAAAAGAAACATTCTTAAAAAGAATCTGCATTCTTTGAGAAAGTCAGAAAAAATGACACAAAATGTTGATCTCTATATCTTTTCGACTTTTAAACAACAATTAAGTCGTGTTTTTTTTTGACTCACTAAAAAGATCTTGTAAAATGATTGTAAATATTAATTAACTATCATCTACAAGATTTTTTTTTTGTGATAAATTCATATATACATATTTAATAATTTATTACGTCCGTGTTACTCTTTTCTTGTGTTATTTTATTTAAGAATGTCTAACAAATATAAGTCCTACACTGTTTGATAGAGGAAAAAATTTTATGTCAACTTTCTGAACTTCTCAAAGAATATAGATTCTTTTTAAGAATGCTTCTCTTTTTCTATCATGTTGTTTCATTTATAACTGTGGTACAAAAATAAGTTATATACGATTCGAAAGAAGAGAAATAGTTGTATCTGCTAGTAAAAAAAAATTTCTTCTGGCACCCTTCTATCGAAGAGAAGCAGGTTCCGACATTCGTCTAATTGCTCTTTCATCATACGCTAGTTTATGTTGACCTCTTCCTAATATCCTCTTGGGCAATAACTGATAATTATCTATGAAATGCTACACATGTATTTTTTTACTTGATAATAGGTGAAATATGTTTAGTGAGGCGAAAAATGGCACTTCATAGGAGTGTTTGTCTCTGTCATCCGTATAAAAAAAAAAGTTGAATCAAATTCTACTAGAAACTCAAAACTTAGCCTGTTCGAGCGAATCGAAGCGAAGATATTACAATTTTCTATGATAGTATTGTTGATAATCTGCCATATATATTAGACTAATGGTGTTAAAAAGTGTAAATCTAAAATGATTGATGTAAGTAACATCTTTAATGAATACAGTCTTTGAAAAGTCATGTGCTTTTTATTCCCCGATGGTTCTTTTATCTTACATGAGCGGAAATTATGTTTCAGAGTTGAAGGTATTGTTGTGTCTACTACTTACACCGCATGTGATTAATAAGAAGAAGAGACTTTAACAAGACATTACATATTCAACTATAGATTTATTAGATATTTTTTTTGTTCAAAAAATTTTTCTATTCATATAATTAAACACATTTGAATATTTTTGTTTCTTTTGAATGATACATTCAATAGACTAAAAACAGTCTGTCTCAAATAAAACACGTTCAGGTCATTTTTGAAAAGTCATTTTAATTACAAATAATATCATGCTGACACAAGTTATATTTGAACTCTTCTGTCTGGATAATAATCAAAAATTTTATGTCCTCATTTATTATCATAGTATCAATAGGATTGTTACGTCTGATGAAGATAATGTTGATTTTAAGTAGAGTCCTATGTGAGCAACTTTTCTAGACTTCCGTTTCCGTAATCCTTTCAAAATTTCTATTACAAATTCATTTTTCGTATTTGAGAAAAGCTATCATTACCAAACACTGGCTTCTGTCAACGTTATATTTCATAGAATGTGAGACGATCTTAAATTAAAAATAAAATTATCATCAAAGGTACATGTTAAGAAAATAAACTAATTATTATTTATACATGGAGAGTTATCAACGTTACCTTAAGGAAATTGTCTCCTTCGTCAATTGAACAATTGAGAAGAGAAACAAAAATAGAAGCACATCAATAATATCGATGAAAAATGGAAACATTAAAGAGGCGAATCCAGCATTGCTTGTTTCAATGAACATAGTCTCGTAGTCAACATCAAAGATAAGATTTGCAAAACTTACTGGTCGCTTTATTATTAGTATTTTGAAGAAAAATTCTTGAATACATGTTTATTGGCTAATACTTTCGAGATATTATTTTTTTTTAAATAAATTTTCTTAGGTTTATCAATTGCCAATGTATATCCATTCAATTGTGGGTCAAAAAAAAACCGGCAAATACCAATACGATAAAGTGGCTGTTTTCCATCATCTCAGAAAACATTGAAAATAGTGGCAGAAACGATAATCACTCGCTAACAAGTTATGTTCTTGTTTTTGCGTTAGTCTAAATATTGTCTCTTCAAGTGAATTGCTATTTAATTCTAAGCACTAATTAAAAACCCGCAGCATTATTTAATAACTATCTCTAGCTATTTACTTAAAATCAACCTCTCTAAGTGGATTTCTATATGCTCTCAAAAATGATTTAATGATTAGCAGCACTATTAGATAAATATTTAGCTACTTATTTGTTTTTTTTTATCTATCTCAATGAATAGTTAATTAACCTCGAACATTATATATAATCATCATGAGTACTATCGCACTAATATTTATAACTGTTTAAATACCACTCATCTACTTTTTTTTCCAATGAAAACTAATTTCTTTCAAGCAAGAGATGACAAAGTTAGAAAACATGTAAATGAATAACAAAGAGAAAAACTACAATAAATTCATATCAGCGATTCAATATATAAAATGAGGGTTTTTTTTCCTAAGATCTGTACTAGAGGTCTCAATGATCTAGATCGAAGAAAGCTCAGTCGTGATCCTTCGTACATTTTCATTTTTAATAATAACGTCGTGTAACGATGGTTGTCGTTTCAATAAGATGATAACAATTTTATTTTATTTCTCTTTATTTAACTTTGTATATTTTACAGAAATGTTTTAGCCAATGAAAACAAAAAACATATGGAGTTTTTGATAAAAAGAAAAGTTTAGTAATTGAATCAGCTTAGTCTAGTTGTTTTATTGACTAAAAGTCACTAAAAAATAAACTTTTACTATCACATTATTAATCACAATTAATTCAGTTTGTTTTTAGTAAATTTCGCTAAACGAATTCATATTGAAACATTCTATTGTAAAAATCTATAATGAATAAATTCTAAAGATACAGAGTTGATTCTTTTGATTCAATGTTTTCAAGATATGTTAGATTGTTGACAAAAGTTAATTTGTATATGTTCTATGATATTAATTTAATACAAGCAGATTATATTTAACATTTGATTCTGTCTTAGAACATCACATTTTTAAATATGTTCATATGAAATATCAATCATTAAGGAGATAATGATAAAAATCGGATTAACTATAATTTATGAATTATGTTCTTGATATGATTATGTTTAAAAATAAAAAATGTACTTGAGAGTATTTTTATTTGTTACATGTTGTGTTCATTGGATATTTATGTAATTTAATATAATTATTTTTAGGTTTTCAATTTTTTCTTAATACGGATCAATGATTAAATGCAGGCATAATCATTGAATGAACAAGAAAAAAAAAGTACATAAATATCTAAAGTATATTTCATGCATAAAGAGAAACCGGTGTGATTTCACCTATTGATCTGCTTTACAAACATTGAATTCTAAAATGAATGATTTCTGTTTTTTTACTTCATTTCTATTCAATTTCATTTCAGCTAACTTATGTCACGAAAGCCTTACTATAAAAAAAATATTTACTCAGTTTTGGTCTATTTGAAAACAGTTGATTGGAGTCAGAAGCAAATTTTTCATTTTTTTTTGTGAAGATAATAAAGCTTTGATTAATTTACACAAAATAACAGAACAAATAATTCTTTACAAAATGAAACGTTTTCCAGCTCTCTACATCATTTTTCTGACCGAGATATGCATCATTCTTACGAAAGATACAAAATTGATGTTCCCGTATGAAATAACAAATAAAAAACAATGATTGTTATGCCTTTCATAAAGCTGATACATTCTGATTAAAAAATCGCCGCAGAACTCCGGAAGATATTTCAATTTGTACCGAATCATTTGTTCTATCATTCTGTGAAAACCGGAAATCATTTTCATCTTCGAAAATGAAAATTCTCTACATAAATCACTATTTAGATTCTTATTGGCGATTATGGTAGTGCAAAAAAATGGAAAATAAATTTGGATGAACACTTATGGGAACTACTGTATTTTCAGAAGTCTCAGGTTTTCGAACTTTGATCTGAAATTTTACGCATATAGAGAACTCAACTAGAATAACTTTCATAAAAAAATATTCAGAGGTTTTGAACAAAACCTTTTTCAAGATATATCTCCATAGGAGAGAAGAGATAGGAAAATTTTTGTAACTATTATACAAATAATATGTTTCTTCTTCAGATCATGAATTTGATTTATATATAAAAACTGATTAGCCTATGATAGAATTTCAAAAGATAATATTTCGTTATATTTTTCTTAATAGACTTTCGAAAATACAGACGATGTATTTATTTTCGAATTAATTTCTATAATAACAAGTTTGTTCGTAAGATATAAGAATAATATATTTTAAGTTTCATAGAAAGTTTTTTATGATGATGAATGTTATTGAAATCTAGTTCTACACATGACTCGGAATACTTGTATAGTCAATCATTTTAATTGATTTTATCAAATCGAAGATTCTGCACATCAGTAATAAAAATATCTTACTACAGCACTGGCAAAATCACCAAATATAAGTCCAAATTTAAAGAAAAATTCAAACATAAAGCATATAATGAGAATTCCAATGTGATGATATCTATAAATAACTAAGAGTCCCATTATTACAAAATTGCATAAAAAAACAAAAGAATTCCTAACGGATCGTTTGTACTTACACATTGAATGTTAACAAGTATAAGAGGATATTTGCAAATCTAAATTAACTTTTCAATTGACATTTGTTCAGTATTTTCCTTTTCGTTTCTTGAACATAGATTATGTCAGATATTCAAATCAACAAAAACTAATAATACAAACATTTGATAATATCTCATCGTAATATAAAAGTTTTAGTGATGGAATTTATCATTTCATGCATGTTTATTTCTAATATATCTTAGTTTAAACAATCCATTCATTCACATCGAAAGATGTAGGTCTTATTAAAAAAAAAAAGAAGAAGAAATAATGATCATCACAGAGAAAAGAAACAAGTGTTACAACTCTCATCTGAATATAAAAAAAAAACAAACTTAATCAAATAAACTAAAAACATTAGAATTACAATGTTTGATTGTTATGGACGGCATACATTTGATGTTTATATTAACTATTGAATAGTTTTACCAAAATTCTGGATGATAACGAAGAGCATCAATCAAAGCATTTGGTTCAAGACGTCGTTCACATATTTCATGTACAGTCATAAATAGTGGAAATCTATTTAAAAAATATATATACAGGAAAAATCATTGGTTAGCCACATCACTTCAGAAAATTAACACATATGTATCTCAGGATAATGAACTTTCTTAGTGCTAAATTTTATATATTAAATATATGGTCAATTACACGAGATATGCTCAAAAAATTAGCATTAGAGACCTGGATAACGAAAAAAAAAAATGTTTGTCAAAAAAAATCATCTATGTAAAAAATAAAAGAAAAGATGGGAATGTCGTCTTTTGCTTGCAATGGTTCATATATAATTTCATTTTAATATAAATCATATGAAAAAAAAAGAAAAATCTTACTTATTTGCTTGTCCTTTTTGTTTAAGCCATTCTTGTACTTCAGCTGCTGCATCAGGTCCTTGTAATTTTTGTCCATTAAGCATTTCTTCTTCAAGTGTTCTAATATCTTTTCCTGTTTTAACAAATGCAGCAGCTACTTTACGATTACGACCACCATAACATGTTGTTACAAGATCAGCAACACCACATGATTCTAAAAATATGTGTGGATGATGTCCTATAAATAAAAATTATTCATTTATTGTTTTAATATAAATATTGTAATTTTTAAACTAACCAGGAAAAAATTCTTCACAAAATTTTACCATTTCTTTTAATCCAAGACGAATAACAGCAGCTTTTGTATTATCACCATAACCTAATCCATCAGAAAAACCAGCAGCAACTGCAACAATATTTTTCAATGCACCAAGAACTTCAATAACTTCTATATCTGATTTAATAACAATACGAAATTCATTTGTTTGAATAAGACTTTTAATTATTTGTCCATGTTCATAATTTCGTGAACCAACTGTTGCTTCACAAAATGTTCCTGCTGCAACTTCACTTGCTATATTAGCTCCCATTAATACATAACAAGGTACTTCAAGTAAACGACTAATTACAGTTGAAAGAAGTTCAACATGTTTATCTTTACTAACATAAAAACCCTAATAAATAAATAAATAAATAACTATTAAATTAAATAAACAAACATACTTTGGAAAAAGATACAGCAAAAGCAGTTTTTTGAACATGCGATTTAATTTCATTGCATATTCGTTCAACAAATTGATGTGGTATTATAAATAATAATATATCAGCATCTTTTACAGCTTCAACAACATCGGGATAAGCTACCTAAATAAAATATATAATTTATTTTTTATGTTATAATTCAACACATACAAAAGCATAAGTATTTAAATATTTAGTCTTTTTTTTCTTTTTATCGTTCAAACTCAATAATACTGTTTAAAAATATATTAAAAAAATCAATTATGTTTTTCTTTGACATTTTTTTATCTTACAACATTAGGTGGAAATTTATGACCAGGTAAATACTTGGTATTTTCATGTTCTTGATTAATAATTTCTGTAAGTTTTCGACCATTAATTATTTCTTCATAAACATACATTCGAATTTCATTTTCAAATGTATTAAATTTAAGTATATTAGTTCCAACTATTTTAGCTATTGTTGAACCCCTAAATAAATAAAATATGAATTTATCTTATGATGATTTAGAATATTTCAATGTATACCAATTGCCACTGCCTACAATGGCAACACGTTTAAGTGGTTCACTCATCTGAAATAAAAATTAAAATAAGTTTAAAGAAAAAACTTAATTTTCTTTCATTCTAGAACATATTTTAATGGAAAGAAAATTATCCAATTGTAAATAATTATTTAAAAAAAAGAGATACAAACGAAACATCAAGACGCGCCTTGAAATAAATAAATCAATCCTATCTTGAAGCAAACGAAAAAAAAATTCGAATAAAAAAAAGTAAATCCTTTTTCTATAAAAAAAAGTTCATTTCTTCCTCGTACAGATGGTGCTGCGTGGCAGTGTCTATAATATCTATATTGTAACAAGAAAACTAACAATATCAAGTTTGAGTCTGAGTATGGGTCTTATCTAAAGTTATGTCCACATATACACACCCAACTTCCTATGGTTTTGAAACATTATCAAAAGAAAACTTCGAGCTATATCTGAATTGGTATTTTTGTTTAAAAATTGTTTCTTATTGATAAAAATATTATAATAATAGACTATCACACGTGGTATTATCTATGTTTTCACATGACCATTTAAATTTTAATTACCTTTCAAGATCCAAATTTCTAACAACTGTCTCGAAATTTATCCAAAGTGAAAAAATTCACTAATCAAATCGATCACTTTCTGCTCATTTGAAGTTCAATTGGAAACAACGAAATATACTACGAGAATTGGCTTGCCGAGCTCTACAAACTGGTATATCTTCCATTCAAAACCGAGACTCATATTTAAGAACTTTTCCTCGTCAGAGAGTGATGCATGGCAGAAAATGATACAGTCAACTGTTTTGTTTCTTAGTTATTATTTATCCGTAAAGCTTTGCTGCCTGACCGAAGTCTTCTTTTCTGGACTCTATATCGTCGTTCTGATATATGAAGTTTTCCCTCCATTCGGACGCAATGATCTGCTTACTAAATTTCTCAAAAGTTTTATTCTCGTTTATATGCGTTTCCGTGAAGCCCAAAGCTTTTTAGCCTTTAGTCACACTCATTATTATGAGCTTCCAAGCCCACTCTGACGTAATGATATTTATACGAAGGTATTCGTCGGCGTCCTAACAGCTTGTTGGATAATTCGAAGCTTGTCATTGATGGCTACATTTCAGGAGTGTAATATTAACAATTCTATAGCATCTATTGTGATATTTCTTATTACTGTGCACTGATAGTTCACTGTATAGTCTCTTAAATAAACTGGGGTGATCTATAGAACGAAACAACATGGAAGTATAGAAAGGATGTAAAATGTAGGCTACATCATAGAATTGAGATGTATAAAAAAAGGAAATAAACGTGAAATGAGTGCAGAAAACCAAGTCAACTCGAGGATTAGGTGACCAACAATCTATCGGCCAATTTACTAAAAAAAACAGTCAGTCATTGATTTCGATTCTATTATTGTCTTCATTCTATCACATAATTCTCTTAAATTTTCACTATGTTTAGGGCTTTTACAATTTAAGTTACTTACCACAGTCAAATAAGTGTAACCAGAATAGTCCTAAAAACTTGACTGATACGCTGTTGTCGATTATAGCTTATATTATATGTGGGACCGTTTGTTTCTTTTTATCAAATGATTCGTGTGTTACTTTTGTTGGATGATGCAAAGATTTTACTTATCTTATCTTTCCCACTTATATTTTATGTGAGTATCGTTGCATCACAGAATTGGTTGAAAAGGACTGAACTTATCAAAAGCCAACAAAAAAGCTTGTCAGTGCAGCCCTTCTGGGGCTGAAATGTAGGACTCACTTATCTTCTTTAGTTTCATTATACTAATAACAAAATAAACAATGTTTGAATTCTCTAAAAGAGGACAGTTCTTCGCTAATAATAATCGATTGCCAGCAAATGCTACCTTTTTTATTTTTATACTTCGAACAGAGATTCTTTTCTTGATGGAGTTATTATCCTCTGTCATAGAGGCTTCCATTAAGATTGAATCTACAGCAGACGAGGTGGAGTCACTGCATCTTCCTTTGGTACTAGTTTCATGCAACTTTCTAGCAATTTTTCTCCCAAATATTATATTTTTATCGTAATCGCCTCTCTCTTATGCTTAACCGCAGTCCGCTTCGAAAATTTCTGAAGGTATAGGTGTGGGTGTCTAGGTCTTTGGGTGCAGGTGTATATGTTTGGTTCAGTTACATCCATACCCATACACGCATACTAAAATCCACCGTTTCACACCCATCCAAAGTCAAACTGACATCGACACCCATACATATCCACGTCCACACCCTCGAATAGAAATATGTTATTAAGATCGCTTTAAAGTTTGATGCAGTAGAATTACGATGCAGCATATTGAGTACACAAAAAGATTATTTTTATTATTATTCGTTTAAAAAACGCAGTTGAAACATCTACCGATTTTAACTGTGAATAATCGAACCTTGCAATTTCTCTTTCGTGCAGAATTATATGAAGAATATGTTTCTAGTAGACTTTTCCACGATAGACTACCACATGGAAAATTTATTCTAATTTTGAATTAAGAGTTTTTTGATGATATCTATCAAGTGATCAGTGGAGAGTGAGGAGTGACAGGAGCATACGATCGAGTTTCAAATGACATAAGAAGAAGATTGAACTCGTGCAACAGATCCGTGCTTTAAACATGCAAGGATTCATTCATTTTTATTTGAGAAGTGATGATCATTACAGAGTATACTTTTATCTGATAAGATCCTCATCTCAGAACATCAAAACTAGTCGTAACAGTTTAAGACTCTTGTAATACTGTCATATGCCCTTCATAATTATCATAGATGTTTGATACTGCTCTCAAGAAGTCAATTAATATACGTTTTCAGCGGATATATTTTATTAGAACAGGTGAAAAATACATAAGAAAAAGAGAAAAAACAGTCAATATTATGAGAGAACAAAGCGAAATATTGGGCAGATAAGAGGAGAAATCTAATTAGTAGATAGTGTTTATTGATGTTGATGGCTGTATTCGATTTGTCGGTGTGTACTTGAGTCTGTTCAATATGTTCTATGGAGAAAAAAAAGTACTGAATTAATTTATACTCATAAAATACTGAAGATGATATCAGCGAAATTCTTTCAATAAGTAATTATTAAAACACATTATTATTACACATACCGGGCTTATTCATCATCATGATCATGACAACAAGTACCGTAAATATCAGCAGCCATATAAATTGCATCACCGTTACTAAGCTTATAAGAACAGCAACGAATATTACGACCTTGAGCATCAGTAAGACAACAATTACCATAACCAGCACCGAAAAAAGAAGGAGAACTCTCAAACTCAACACAAGATTTGGTACGTTTGTTAAGGAGTTGCTCAAATTTTCTCAATTGCAAGCTTCGATGCTGACTGTCACTATTGATACCTTCCGAATCTTCGTCCAATGCTCGTGCGTTGCTGCATGTTGCCGAAAGTGTCAAGATAAGAAGGAAGTAAACTACTATTTTGATATTATTCATTTTACGACCGTTAAATATAAAAGTAATATAGATAGATAATTAAGTTAGAATGAATGTATGCTTGTGATTTTATCTTGATACTTCTGCTCTTATATACCCACTGATCACGATAGAGAAAAAAATTTACGAAAAAGAAAACAATTTTTGCCTCTCTAAAATACAATGGAGTAGAAGTGCATGACTAGAAGGACACTAAAAATGACAACGACAAATAGTTCAACACTACAGTGAATGTCTTTTCTCTCATAGAGATCAGGACACATTCGATGTTGTAAACCGGTGTGCACTGTAAAAAAGAAACGCATAATAGTAAGCTATTCTCTTATGCTTAATTCTTCATGAACCCTTTAAGGGTATATAGTCCAGTGATTTATGAAGGCAAGAGTGCATAAATATAAAAACGATTTCTGACTATTACATAAGCTTTTATTATTTTACATTCTAAAAAAATTACGGATTGTAGGAAACCCTTTACGAGATTTTTCAAGTTAAAAATAGGTATCTGAGGTTTCGAAAAACCTTAATGTTAGCGTCAATAGATGAAATATATTGACGAAAACTAGGGTGTGGGTGTGGATGTGAGTGTGGGTGGGTGGATATGCGTGTGGGTGTGGATGTGGATATGGGTGTAGGCGTGGGTGTCAATGTGGGATATGGGTATAGGTATTCATTCTCTTCATACCAACACACCCATGCCCTTTTTCATAAAACAATCACCCGTCGGCTGTTAAATCTTATCGTTGTCAATACGAAAACTTTGAACATAAAATACTTTTTTCTATGTTAAATTAATGTTATCCAAGATCTGGTTTTTTTATTACTTCACAGAGAATGTTGTCATATTTTCATCTTAGCAATTTAACAAGATTCATTTAAGCTCATTATACATCTTCTATGTCTGTTAATGAAAAATGGCCAACCTGATCTAACCTGGCAGGCGCCTGCACACCAGGTAAGGCTGAAAAGAGTGGCCTGTTGTCATCTCTGATATGAATAATTCAATTTGAAATTTTGTCAAGCTAACTTTCCGAATCTCGTTCGAAACAAGCGTTTAGTCCATGTTTTTGGGGTGCAGTAGAGGCTTCCTCAATTAAAAAAAACAAAAATGATAAATAACAACTGCAAATTGCGTTAGACAAGCTCCTATAGAAGCTTTGAGATATATTGATGTGAGTTTTCTCTTGGGAAAAACAACCGAACGAGTCGAAATCGCATTTCGTGTCATGCCTCATAAAATCAACTTGGAGAATGTATTTTTTTTACTTCGCTATTGATATCAAGAAAACAGAATATTTTCTTCTTGTCAGTTCAGTTTTTAGTTGTAGCGCCTGAATATCGCTTGTATTTATTTATGAAAATCGTGTCACACACTCTATTGAATGATAATTCAGTTATGTTCACATGATTGATTCATTCTGTCCAGTGATTCGATCATAATCTGAATTGCATCATCGAGTGTTGTACCACGTTTTCGTTCTTCGCTTATCTCATTGCCAAGTGGAGTTTGTTCGGCTACAAAGCGATACGTATCCGCAGCGCCATCGAAAATTTTCG